ACTAAAGCTTGTGAATTACCTAATTCAGTTTTCAGTTTAATATCTGTATTTAATTGAGACTTTTCGCCTTTAATTTTATCAAATATTTTTTTCGCTTCGATCAGTTCTTCCTTAGAGATATCATTAGAATGCTGGTAAATTAATCGAATTGCTGATAAAGCGTATAATTGAGCTTCCAAGAAGCGGTCGGAGATGTATGAACATATTGCCATGTATTCTCGTAGTTTTATTTGTTTTTTTAATTCTCCAGTTATATCTGCAATTTTACAAGCAGCACGATAGTCTTCGTGAGCTAATTTTCCATAAAATATGCTTAAACGTTTTAGTTCTCCACGGGGAATCTCTTTAACGTCATCTTTATTTAATATTTTTAGTTTATTCCAATTATTATTATAGGCACTACGATAATCATTCGCAATATTACAATGCTTATTTGCGCTTTTTTCGTGAAAATCAAGTTCGCCTTTGGCTCTTGAAGTTTTTTCCAAGTTATCCAATAAATTTTCTTTAATTTCTAGAATAATTTTAAAGAGCTCTGTACTAAGATATTGGTCGTCTTTGTGAAGCCTTTTTGAAATATTGGAACTATCGGGATGAAAACACGAAGCAAGTTTTTTAAAACGTTTATTGACTCCATCTTTTGTAAATAAGATGTTGCTGAATAAAATAGCTTTCTTATTAGGTGAATTTAAAGTATTGTATATAAAATCCAACCTTCTCGGATAAACTGTTTGACTAGTGAACTGAATTGCAAATTCTTTTAAATCTTTTAAAGCTGCTAAACGATCACTTACGTTCATCATTATTTGTTCAATCTCTGACTGATTTGATTTACCATCACTCTCATTAAGTTGATCCAGAATAATTAATGCTTCATTAATTAAAATATTTAATGAATTGAGCAAAGAATTCTCACAAATGACGAGTTTATGATAATCTTCAAAGGTTTTTGGTATTTCGTTTAAATTTTCAAAAGCTATTCTGATAGGTTCAATAGCTATCTCTCCTAAAATATCTTCTCTTAGTTTTTCTCTTATTGATTCTTCTAGGTCCTTTTTGCCAGAATTAGAGGATTGACAATCTGATTTATCATTTATAAACATCATGAATTCATTTTCATCGATATCTACTCTCTTTGATCCATATCGTTTATATTTTTCCGATAACTTTTCTTGCTTGGCAGCCTCAATTACTCTATTAATCGTTTTTAAATAACTTGCATAGGTTGAATGATACCGATATTTATAAGAACCATGTTGTTCTTCATCTTCCTCTTCTAATTTATCAATTAAAGCTTTTCCTTCAGCAAATTTTTGTTTAATTTCTTGCTCTTGAGTTTGAATTCCGTTATCTAATTGAAATTCAATTAATGTTTCTATTTCGGAAAAAAATGACTCAATTTGAGAAGCCATTTTAGAAATCGATATAGGAAAACTTTATGCCGTAAAAGAGAAAATCAAAGGTGTTTGACGTGGGTCCTTTTACGACAAATATTCACAACTTTTTGTTTTGTGATAGGTTTAATGGCAAGCGACGTATGTATGTCTACGATATAATAAGAGTTTTTATACTAGTTGTTTTCTGGCATTTAATTGTGTTTTTAATTAATTAGAGATGCAAGCGAAACTCCGTAACTTGTCGTAACGGTTATTATATATTACAGAGATAATTATGACATAGTTACGGCAAGTTACGGAAGTTTCACCTGCACCTCTAATCGTAATAATACGCGTAATATGTACAATAGTAACAATAATGGTAATGAATTCGAGTTAAATAAAATATGAACTGAGTCTAACTTAATTAACTTCATAAGTATATGTTATTGTCCACGAAGTGGGCAATAACTAAAAATCATACCCGGATCTGATGATCAGATAATACGGAATGGCCACTGGCCGCTTCGCAGCCAGTGTGCAATTCCGTTATTATTCGATCGTCAGATACGGGTTCGATTTTTAGTTATTTATACTTCGTGGATAATAACTGATTTATTCACAGGCTCTTTTTATACTTCCATACTATCTTTTCAAATTAAAGTTGAGAATTTCATAAAGTTTAGTTTTCTACAATCATACAATTTCTTTCGTTTCCTTTAACCAACAATTGTTACTTTTCGTTAGTAACGTTAATAGTTTAAAATTTCGTATATCATTAAAAAAAGTAAAAAAAGTTATATAATCAAAAACAAATATAAAAACTCTGGATCAGCCCGAATCTGAAATCTGGGTAATAAACGTGAAAAGATAGT